CACACAGACTCAGATGGGTAGGTGCACACACAGACTCAGATGGGTAGATGCACACACAGACTCAGATGGGTAGGTGCACACACAGACTCAGATTGGTAGGTGCACACACAGACACAGATGGGTAGGTACATCATATAAACAAGGAGACTCAATCCTAACTACTCCCAAGAGCCTGGAATCTGAGGCTCAGGCTCAGGTCATACTTCTGACTCTGAACTTAAATCTTCGCTCTCAGGAAGTACTTTTAAGCTTTATTGTCTTGGTCAGTAAATAAAGTTGACGGGGTAGAAGACGCTGTCTTAGCACAGATAAACAAAACAGTTCCTAACTAGCACGCGGTTTCAGAGGAAAAGTTAGTCTTTGAAAGATTAAAGGCAGTTACCAACTCCTGCATTGGCTCTGATCATATGGCAAACTGAGTTTTATATATTTGTTTTATTTTTCAGCTGACATGGGTTTTGCCAGATTATTCAATTCTCCTCTAAAGCCACTCGCAGATTTGGATCCAGTAGTCGTGACATTTTGGTATCGGGCCCCAGAACTTTTACTCGGTGCCAGACATTACACGAAGGCCATTGGTAAGTGTCGAGATGACTGACAAGCCGCATGCTCATGAATGTGAGATCGTTCATAATAAAGCCAGAGCTATGGAAAGAACATACACATCTTCCTTCCTGTATGCTCACGTAGCATATTCATCTGAAGAATGGGAAAGCGAGTCAAAACTGTCTTCACAAATAGAAAATCAGGGCAGGAGTGTTGTGCCGGAGAAAAGATCGTTTCCAAGAATTCTAACCAAGACATGGTATGACGTGCCATCTCTCTTGCTGCTATGGTCTTCAGGATGGCAGCCTGTCCAATACAGCAGGAAAGACAGTAGGTAGGATGTCTCTGCTCAGCTACTTGCCAAACCAGCAGCAAGGAGAAAGAACTAGAGAAAGGAAAGCAGTTATGAGCATGTTTGTTAGGACTTAATGAGCTTCCTTACAACAGGCACTTTGGAGATGTCGCTGTCTGAAGGCTGAGGAGCCTCAGCTGTAGGTAGGGAACTAGCAGGCAGGGCTTTTCCTCAGCTCTGGAAATGTCTCCACATAGAAGAAAAAGAGAGGGCAAGGAGGGATGAGCCATGGCCACGAGAAGGGGTGCATTTCTAGGGCCTTACCTGTGGGGCTTCCCTGCACATTCCCTTCCTCAAAGCTTCCTCATTCTGCTTCCTGCTCCTGGGCAGGAGGGCGATCACTCATCACCTTGGCTGTTGCACTAAGAGTGAATTGTCACTCAAAATCCTCTGGAAACACAATCCTGTATATGTTTAAAAATGCTGTAACCCTTCAAAGCACTGTGAGTGCTGCTCCTGTGTTTAGGGAGATGCCTTAGCCTCCTAATTAATTCCTGGGTGAAGAGCATGCACATATTTCAGTGCCTTGTTTATCGGGAGATCTGACTTTTTCAAAATCCAGATACCCAAAGTACTTAGATTATAACATAGTGCTGAAGTAATAGAACACATTGGTGAATATTACTAAACCCAAGTGCTCTCAGAATCGTGGGGATGAGTGTGTGTGAGGAAATGTATGGCATTAGACCCTCCTGTGTCCAGTCAGAACAGAGGCTGTGGAGGGCCTGCTGTCAGTGGAGGGTCTGCGGTGTTTGCGGAAAAACCTGCACAGCTCTTTTGCATTCCAACCTTGTATTGCTTTTCTTTGTTGTTTTGTTGTTGTTGTTGTTGTTTTTGTTTTGTTTTTTTTTTTTTTTTTGGTTTTTTTTTTTTTTTTTTTGGTTTTTCGAGACAGGGTTTCTCTGTGTAGCCCGGGCTGTCCTGGAACTCACTCTGTAGACCAGGCTGGCCTCGAACTCAGAAATCCTCCTGCCTCTGCCTCCCAAGTGCTGGGATTAAAGGCGTGCGCCACCACTGCCCGGCCTTGTTTTGTTTTTTGAGACAGGGTTTCTCTGTGTAGCCCTGGCTGTCCTTGGAACTCACTTTGTAGACCAGGCTGGCCTCGAACTCAGAAATCTGCCTGCCTCTGCCTCCCGAGTGCTGGGATTAAAGGCGTGCACCACCACCGCCCGGCATTGCTTTTCTTGTTATCCAGGTCTTTTCCTTCCAACTATTGAGAACAATTCCTTAGATAACCTCGGAAGGCAGCAGAAGATACGAGGGGCTAAGTCTGAGAGGGTGTGTGTGGTGTGTGTGTGTGTGTGTGTGTGTGTGTGTGTGTGTGTGTGTTGAGAGATGTTAGTTGGAAATTAATAGATGGAACCTTAAACAGGCAAGATGGTAAAAAAAATTCAGGGCATAGGGAGGAAGGCATTGCAGCATGTACTGTGACTTTGTCATCCATAAATGTATTGGGTACATTAGTAATCATCCTGGTAGTCAGGCAGCGCCAGGTGCCTGGTGGAGGATGTGGAAAATCAGTAGCAATCTGTATGCCCCTGGGTCTCCCCCATAATTTGTACAATATATGAAAGGGAGAGTTCCCATTAAGTAAAAGGATGCGTAGCCAACCTTTTTTTCTGCTAAGATTGTTTTCCATTGTATCTTAGTTACTTTTCAATTGCTGTGATAAAAATACCATGGCTGAGGCACTGATCAAAGAAAGGCTTTAATTTGAGCTCACAGTTCCAGAGAGTCCATGGCTGTTGTGGTGTTGGGAGCATTCTAGCAGTCAGGAAGACACAGGGCTGGAGCCATTAGCTGAGAGTTTTCCATCTTGACCCATAAGGTGGAGGGAGAGAGAACTATCTGGGAATGGGGTGAGCATTTGAAACTTCAAAAGCCTACTCCAGTTACACGCCTCCTTCAGCAAGGCCACACCTCCCAATCCTTCCCAAACAGTTCTACCAAGTATTCAAATGTGAGCCTATGGGGGTTATTGTCATTCAAAGTACCACACCCAGCAAAGTCGATGTTCTATATACATGGAAGCCCAGGCTTTCAAGTGCTTTCCCAGGCACTACACACTGGGGAGCACTTTTGAGAAGCACAGTTGTAGGAAAATAGATGCGGTGGGTTTGTTGTTGTTATTTATTTGTTTATAATAAATGTAATTGGGTATAAGTTAGAAATCAACTATTTTTCAAGTAAGTAAAACTGAAATTGAATTTTATCCAACTTGCGACTTACTTGCTTGCCCAGTTAGTGATACTTAGCTCATGACATAAAAATGTAATTACTTGCCAGATGCCAAGTAATGCTTGTATGTGGGAGGACACTGACGCAGGAAGGTTGTGCGTGAGCTCACTGCCCGCTTGGGCTACGCAGTGAGGTCATAGCTCATCTCCAAAACAAGGTCATAATAACCTGAGTCCTAATTACCTGTCCACAGTAGAAGTTAGGGAAGACACTGAGATAGGAAAAGTCTCTGGGTTTACAGTATTAAGATAGGGATATCTTTTTTTGTTTTTCGAGACAGGGTTTCTCTGTGTAGCCCTGGCTGTCCTGGAACTCACTCTGTAGACCAGGCTGGCCTCAAACTCAGAAATCCGCCTGCCTCTGCCTCCCAAGTGCTGAGATTAAAGGCGTGCGCCACCACTGCCTGACAAGATAGGGATATCTTTAGGCTTAAAACATTCATAGCAATGTATATAAACACATACATAGTCACTCATTGTCACTTTTCTCCATCCCTGGTGATGTCAGAAACAAGTATAAGTGATGTCAGAAGTAGATAAGATGATGTTGTCAGGAAACAGCTTCCCACTGCTTGCTTTTCTGAGGTTCTTTATGCTGACAGTTCAAGGGGAAGTCTACATTTTGCTTTCTGTCCTTCGAATAAAGGACCAACTGGGAATTGACATGACTAGCAACATGTAGTGGTCCTTACTGACAGTATTAAGAGCATCGAGGAGGGCGAAAGCTGATGGAGCCATTAGGGACAAGAGTGACAGACAGCACGGCATGTCAGACAGGGAAGGGTTAGAAGTCAGTGCAGAATGTTACTGTGTTGTGCTGGTGGGCATTCACGATGATGGCGCCTTGGCTGTGTCGTTAAGGAAGATTAGATTGTATGTAATCTAATGCAGGTAATGTATGGTAGACAATGGTTATTGAAGGCCGTTTCCCTTTATCCAGAAGGCTGGGGTCTGTGCAGGGAGATATCTGAATGGTCAGAGAAGACAGGCATTACAACATGGGTTTCTGTTGGCAATTTGGTTTACAACAGAACATACTGACATTTGCTGTAGCTAATGAATATAATTAAACCATTTGCTTATTTAGTTTATCTAAAGGATGTGTTTGGCATTGTGGCTCACTTTTTTTTCTACGTTTTACCATATTCCTAGCAGTATTATCTGCTTTTATACTTACTAAATAACATTTCTCAAAATGAACAAATGTAAACATGTATCTCAAAGTTAACTCACTTATGCATATAGCAGAACATTATAGGAATAATCTTAAAGTGCTAGGATATAAGTTATATCTTCAATATATAAAGCACAAATACAATGATGGATAGTTAATGAAACATTCATTAAATTAATTAGTTTATTTACCTAGTGCTGGTCGGGGCTTGTGCAAGACAGTATCCAACCAGTGAGTCATAATCCTAGCCCCTTACAAACGTTGTCCTGAAGCTTTCCGTAGTGGTGAGGCCACAGCTGAGGGAGGGACTGTGTTAGGACAGAGTGTGCCCCACTGGCACCGTGCAGTCTTGGATACGCTTCCTTTGCTTATTAACTTGTAGACTTGGAGTTGGTTGAGAAGTGGACTTTGACAGGTTTGCAGGCAGACGTTGAGTTTTCCACAGTCCTTTTGCTCTCTGTGCAGTCTTAAAATGAAAGAATGTATTATGCTAGCTGATGATAATATTGTTTCATCCTGTCAGATGTGAGTATTATGACCCGTTAGAGGATCAACTAAATGTTTCAGTAATTAAATTAGTGGGTGACAGTTTGGAATTTATTGTATCGAGTATGGTAGTATAAGCCTAGGATACCAGCAGTTGGAACAGTGAGACAGAAAGATCACAAGTTAGAGGCCAGCCTTGGCTATATAAAGTGAGAAGCTCTCTCTCTCAGACTTCCACCTAGAAAGAATCCATTGTTTGTCAAGTTTAGTTTTTCCTAAGCCTGTCTCTACCAAGAAATTTGTAAATAAACATTTCTTTTATTGGCTTCCAATCTGTTATATGATGATATACCATCTCATGTTACATACATGTTGCACGTGCATACACACACATGCCACAGTACACATGTAGAGGGCAAAGGAGTCAGTTCTCATACCTTTATGTGAGTTCCTGGGGCTAAACTCAGGGTTCTAGACTTGCATGGCAAACACCTTTAGCTGTCTTGCTGGCTCTATGTAAGTCTTGTTCTTGTTTATTTAAAGAGGGATCTCTTATATCTCAGGCTAGCTTTGAACTTTTGATGTAACTGAGGATGATCTATAACTTCCACTTCCCAACTGCTTAGATTGCAGGTGTGTGATGTCATGGCCTGTGGTTTTGTGGTGCTGGATTGAGCCTAAGACCTTGTACACTCATGGCAAGCTCTTACCAAATGAAGTACATCCCAGCTTCTGTTGGCTTCCTTAATATGCTTATTATATCTTACATTATTATATTATATTTCTACTGAAATGTATTTTTGTGTGTATGTTGGAATTCTGTCCAGGAATTGTAACTAAGGAAATTAATGTATTTGTCTAAAAAGCTGTTTTTTCTTTCATAGACATCTGGGCAATAGGCTGCATATTTGCCGAACTCTTGACTTCAGAACCCATTTTTCACTGTCGTCAGGAGGATATAAAAACAAGCAATCCTTTTCATCATGATCAGCTAGATCGAATATTTAGTGTCATGGGTTTTCCTGCAGGTAATTTGTTGCCCTTTTAAAATACTATTTTGAGTTCAAAAGTGTTTCTTTGTAAATGCATGCATAAAGTTTGTTTTTTGTTTATTTTTAAACTAAAAAATTAGGAGACTTTTAATAAGATATTTTTTATTTTTAAAAAAACTTTTTTTTTAAGATAAAGACTGGGAAGATATTAGAAAAATGCCAGAGTACCCAACTCTTCAAAAAGACTTTCGAAGAACAACGTAAGTAATTTTATAGATTGTAATTCCAGATTATCTTGGCTGTGAATGCTGGGAGACGCAAAAACAAAACTCTGAGAGTGAGTAGTTGATGAACAACAGAAATTAATTTTCTTACACTTCCAGAGCCGGAGAAGTTCAGGGTACATGTGCCAGCAGGTGTCTGTCCTGCTGCTGTGGTGTCTTGTGATAGAAAGCAAAGGGTATGAGCTCTGTGTAGCACTCATCTGTTAAGACATCAGTACCATTCACGGACACAGTCCCCTCCATTGTAAGCATCTTGGAAGGTCTCAGCATGAGTATTGTGATACAAATATGCAAACATGTTAACTACAGATTGTAGCTTCCATAGGAAAATTCAGCCTTTTTTTTTTTAAAGTATATAGATTTAAACCAGAGACTAAGATATTTGTTATGCCTATGATTTAAAGAATATTTTCCAAATGATTTTAACATATATACCTAATTTAGGACTGTAATATTTAAAAACAGAGACCAGGCCTGGTGGCACATACCTTTAATTCCAGCACTTTGGAAACAAAGGCAGGTAGATCTCCCGAGTTCCACGCCAGCCTGGTCTAGAGAGCAAGTTTCAGGACAACTAGGGATATACAGAGAAACCATGTCTTTCTTGAATAGTGAAAATGCAATAAAAAATTGCAGTTCTAGTCTGATAGAGGCCTTAGTTGAATCCCACTGCCGTGGGTTTGCTCCTGTCTGGATAATGGTCAGTGACTGAGATGCTGTCGTGAGAAGGCAGAAAGGATGGTGCATGGAGGACCGTGTGGTCCAGGGTGAGAGTGGAGCAGACTGCTGCAGAGAGGAGGGTGAGCAGACACGGGGGGTGCACAGGCCAGCTCCATTCGTCAGGACTCTGTAAAGGGCAGAGCTGACAGTGTGTGCGCACATGTGCATGTATGGATGTGTTCGTGCATGTTGGCTTACAGGATGAAGTCTAGTTAGCCCTGCAATGGTTGTGTCCTGCTGGAGAGGCTGAGGATCTGGTAGTGTTCAGTCCATGTGGCTGGATGTCCCAGCAGAGCTGCCAGTCTTCAGTCTGCATTGGCATTCCAAAGAAGTTGGTTTTAATGGTGATAAAGAAATATCACAGCAACAGGATAGGTAGACTTGCCAACAAGAGTGAGGGTAAGCAGGTAAAGAGCAGTTTTCTTTCACGTCTTTTATCTGGGATGTGCCCAGAGGGTGCTGCCCACATGTAGGGTGGGTCTTCCTGCTTCACATAACCCAATAAAAGACATCCCTCACATCCCAGCACCTCCTTGGTGGCTCACAGTTGTCTATAGCTCCAGTTCCAGTGATCCCATGCTTCCTTCAGGTCTCCAGTAGGCACTGTGTGAGCAGGGTACACAAACATACATGCAGCCATATACAGAAAATAATTGAAGAAAATAAAAAGGCAAGGGACTGGAGAGATGGCTCCGCAGATGAGGGTACTCAGTGCTCTTGCAGAGGACCCAGGTTTAGTACTTAGGGCAGCTGACCACCTGTATGTAATCTACATCACCGGTCTGATGACGTCTTCTTGGCCTCTCCAGGCATTGTGTACATGTGGTGCAAAACACCCACACACGTTGCAAACTAATAAGGATAGGAAAAAAGACTGCTCTCAGGAGGGCTGCAGTGGCTTGTATTTTATTTGATTCCAGAAGTGCAGTCAAGTTGACAACCAAATTCACTTTAGCTTACCAGGAAGATTTCAGTTCCAGATGGCTGGTAGTGAGGAGAGTGAGCCCTGTTGCCTCTGGCTCCTCGTTCACACAGCCTCGCTCTCAGTAGGAGCCCTCACCTCTGCCTTTGGACTAGCACACAGCTCAGATTTCGGCCTGAGCTCCTTTGCCACTGCACGTTTTCCCCAAACTCCACGGTTTTGGTTGCCGTATTCATGGCCAGTTAAGAGGATCGATCCTTCCCAGTTTGTCCAAGTCACACATCTCTTACCCAGGCCAGGGAAGGTGGCTCAGGGGGAGAAACAGTTGCAGCTCAAGACCAGTGACCTGACCGTGGGAAGCTGGATGTGACTTGTTCTCCAGTTCCACATGCCTGTTATGTGCAAACAGAGATGTGTACACGCACAAACATAAGTATCTTCTTCAAAGTGGAGGAAAATTTTGGCCTAGAAAAATATTTTAGAATTGAGGGATTTTTTTTAGATTCTAAAAATGCTTTGAATTTCAATTTTTGGGGTAGTGTTGTCTAACTCATATCTTACTCAACTTTCCCCTAGTTTTCAAACTGGCTTATTAAACTGCCAGTGGACTCAGCCTGAAAAAGGACTCCTGTCCTCTTGAGCCTGAGCCTTTGTGCTCTGTATTTATGTTCCAGGAAATGGCTCCATGATTCTCCTAATTGTTCAAACCCAAGACCCGTGACACAGGCATGTGATGCAGACACGTGATGCAAAGCTTGCTGTCTCACTCTGGTCATTTCACTTACCTTCCCTCGCTGGAGCCAAACAAGTAGCAGATCTCCTCAGCTCTTTCTTCTAGAATGCTCTGACCTCGTTTCTACCCATGACCCTTGCCAAATAAACAGAAGTCCTCACAGTCCGGCGGTGGCCGACCTTCCTTGTGCCTTTGCTTCCAGCCTTCATCCCGGCTCTTCCCGTGTTGAGTATTGGCAAAAGCAAACTTGAAGAAATTAGGCATGGTGACTGACATCAAGGTAAACCCAATCCTTTGGAGGCTGACACAGATCAGTAGTCATGAGTTTGAGGCCAGCCTGGGCTATGATGTAGTGAGTACCAGGCTAGCCATGACTATATAAGTAAAACCCCCTGTCTCAATAAATAAGTGAATAAGCACAGCAAAATGAACACAGCACTTTCGTCATAAGTTCTCACTGCTTTCCATTCTGTAACTGTGGCCAAACCTTGGCTTCAGATTTCTCTCTGGAGCTCTCCCTGTTTCATGTTCTGTAGCCCAGACGTCATAGATTGTAAGCACCTCACATACCTTTGGCTTTCTCTGACCTCTGGAATTTTACATCTACGTTTCCTAGTTTCTCTCACCCGTTCATCATGCTGATTGGTGTGCACGCTTTGTGCGTACTCCTTCAGCCTCAGCTCCTCTGTGTCCTGGACGGCTGCTCTGTGACTCCTTCGTGCGCCATTACACATATCCCTGTGGCTTAGCACATACTGGGCTTAGCATATACTGTGCTCATTAATTTAAAATTAACTGCTTCTACCGTACTGCCTAGTACTAGGCTTAGCTTAATGGAGTGCTAACCTGCCATATACAAGGTTCCAGTTTCAGTCCCTAGCAAAGCAAAAAAGAAAAGAACTTGGACTAGGGCCTACCCTTCCCCCTGTAACAAACGATGGAAGACAGAGTCCGGCAGGTATGACAATTGTCCATTGGCTTCTGCAATGGGTCGGACACAGCACATAAAGATTACTGACGTGAACCATCCATAGTAACAGCTCATGGGGAAGTCTGAGCACTGGGGAGGATGAGAGATTGAGTCCCAGTTGAGCCTTCCACAGAGTGAGGCCCTGGAAACAGATAAGAACAGTCTGGGCATAGTGGCACACACCTTGAAGAAGACTAGGCTAGCCTGGTCTACAGAGTGGAGATCCAGGCCAGCCAGGGCTACATAATGAGATTCTGCGTCAAAACAAAAACAAAAGAAACAACAAAGAAATCACTAAAGCAAATATATTGAAAACAGCTCTACAAATTACTATTTCAGATGAAGTAGTGTTTCAAAAGTAAAAGAATATTAACTTGCTTTATCATATCAGAGAAAAAGAACTCTCAAAATACTTTGCGTATGAATTGCTAAGACAACAGTAGGTGTTTTTGTAGCTGTTCTAAGGTGTCAGTTTCAGGTAGCTCACTAGAAAGCAAGGCGAGGCTGAGGGCATCATGCTGCTCACTGGAAAGTGTTTGGATCTAATCCTCAACAGGCCAAAAAAGAGAAAGAAAGCATTCAAAAGATATCATTGCATTTACTTTCAAAACCGAAATGTTCAAAAAAGCACAATTTGATAAATACTTAGCAAGTTTATGTCACTTTGGAAACTCTTCAGATCCTAGAAGCGGGTAATTCAAAAGGTAAACAGTTCATCTTAGTGTTCACACTAAGAAAAAAGTACTGCAGTTGCAGTTGTACAATTGAATTCAGCAGTAAGACAAATTCAGGCTTTTTATATGATAGTAACAACCTAGCATCCAGCGTTAACACAGGAGAGGAGCTGACTGGACAAAGAAGACCTGAGACTGACAGAGAGACTTGACTTGTCTGTAAACTGCCAGGGTTCTTCCCATTGCCCAAGCCAGTGCCTGCCTTGTGCGTGCAGTCTCTGCTGCAGACACCCAAGTACTGTCTGCGGTATGGAGACAGGACACCTGTGCTGCTCCTCTGAGGATGCCTGTCCTTGGGAGCCCGTTACAAGTGTATCTCAGGTGGCTGCTGTGACCCTGTGACCCTGTTGTTCCAGACACCTAAGATGCTGAAGTGGGCTTGAGGATAGCCTGGGCTACACAGCAAAATCGCATCTCAGAAACTAAGCACTAGATTAGAGGGTGGCTCAGCAGTTACAAGCACCTGCTGCTGTTGCAGAGAACCCCAGTTAGGTTCCCAGCAGCCACATGGTGGCTCACCACCATCTATAACTCCACCATCTATAAGAGATCCGCCTGCCTCTGTCTCCTGAGTGCCGGGATTAAAGGTGTGCCAGCCCTCGCCTCCTGCCCTATTTAAACACTCTTAAGAGGTACCAACTCTGCTTCAAATATAAATTATAAAGGGCAGAAAGGGAAATTATCACACACTAACAATAGACTATATTTTTATATTTTGAAACCATTTAAACTTTAAATAATATTAACAATTGATATATCTAGCTATTCTGTTTTTTCAATGGGTGGATATTTGGTTGTTTATAGGTTTTGGAGTTGGCGGGGTCTTTTTTTGTTTGTTTTCCTATTACAAAAATTCTAGTAAGAATATTCTCCTTTGTCCTGATACTTACTCATGTATCTCTTACGCTAGGCCTAGTGACAGGCCTGTGGCCCTAGCTGCTCAGGAGGCTGAGACAGGAGGGTGGTTCAAGGCCAACGTGCACAACTTAGTGAGAGAGACCTATCTGAAAATAAAAAGGGGAAGGGTAGGAGACGCTGCTCGGCTGGAGAGCACTTGTCTACCATGGCTGAGCTACTCAGGAAAGGAGAACCGAGCAAGCGTCTCTTAGGTATGACTTGCATCAGAGCAGTTGCTGAGTTTCAGGGTGTATGTGTTGGTAGCTCTGACGGTGGTACATAACCATAGCTCAAGAGACTCCAGCACTAAAACTCTGCAACGTCGTGTATAGCAACCCTGCTTGTTCATACGTGTATAGCAACCCTGCTTGTTCATACGTGTCGGTGCGTGTCTCACATATACCGGTGGGTGATGTGTCTCACATACACCGTAGAGAGACTCGCCTGAAGAGCTCCCCTTTTGGAATGTGACTCCCATGTGTGCCTCTGGCCGTGTGTTTGTATCCTGCAGGTATGCCAACAGCAGCCTCATAAAGTACATGGAGAAACACAAGGTCAAGCCTGACAGCAAGGTCTTCCTCCTGGTAGGTGCTTCCCCTGCTCACTGTGGAACATCACAGCCAGTCTGCCTTTTGAAAGGAAAGGAGGGAAGGAGGAAGGGAGGGAGGGAGGAAGGGAGGGATGAATTGCTGGATACTTGAGAAATTAAATATTAATCTGTCAAGGAATCTTCCTTGAGTATTAGTCTTAATTTATTAAATGATTTATCAGAAAAAGGAAAGAATTTCAAGGGGCCTTTTTGGTAATTTCATGAATAAGTGTATAGTGCTCGGTATACAGTACAGGGTGATGTGAGGGCTAGCAAGGTGGCTCAGTGGTCAGAGCACATGCTGCCCAGCCTTGACAACCTAGGTAATCCACAGTGCCTGGAACTCACATAGAAGAGCAGACTATATAAACACATACACATGCACATGTGTATGTTCACGTACGTGTAAGAGATGTGTTTGCTGTTAATCATGTTAGACGTTTACACAAACATCAGGTAGTTGACATGTCAGCAACCTTTTCAAGTCTTGTCACATTTCTCATTTGTTGTTCTAGCTTCAGAAGCTCCTCACCATGGATCCAACCAAGAGAATCACCTCAGAGCAGGCTCTGCAGGACCCTTACTTCCAGGAAGACCCCCTGCCAACATTAGAGTACGTATTCATCTCCTTCTCCTTGGCTCTGGTACTGATGCTGCTGAGAGCCAGGGGAGCATCTGCTCATGCCAGCTGCCTACCGAGAAAGCCTCCTCAGAGCCATGCCCATTTCATAGTGGGCATGTCCAGACAGGACAGGTGTGACTCAGATGCCATGCAGCAGGTCAGAGGTTGACCAAAGGGATGGAGCTCACGATGCCTGCGACCGTCTCCCTTCCTCTCACCTCGCCAGGCATGCACTCCAGGCCCTGTATGTTAGAAATGCACTTGTTTTTCTGCAGGGAAATTGTTTTCCTGTTGAAGCGGACACAAAGTCAGTTTAGACTGGTGCGGCTTGTGTCTTCCACATGAGCTTGCTAGCAGCAGCCCTATGCTGACAGTGAAAGCGGCAGTCGGAAGGGCAAACGGTGACTTGCTCCTTCCTTATTGCTTAAATTAAGTTGGCTGGAAGGTGTCCAGCAAACACTAGCCACAATAAGGAATAGGATGTAAGTTAAAAAAGAAAAGGTAAACTTTTAAAGTAATTTGATGGAATTACAGATTTCAGGTACTGACATGAATTTCTTTAAATGGTTTTAGTGTGTTTGCTGGCTGCCAGATTCCATACCCCAAAAGAGAATTCCTCAATGAAGATGAACCAGAGGAGAAAGGCGACAAGGTACAAGCTTCATGCAGCACTGGCTTTCAGGGAGCAAGAGCAGCAGAGAGATAGCTGGGTGGACACCTGAAGCCTGTACTGAGCTTTAAACTGAACTTCCTGTTTTGTTTTAGTAGCCGGTTCTATTCCCAGTTGTTCCTCCTTTTGTTCCCGAAGTGCCAGCCCCACCCTGCTGTGCTTCTGCAGGACCCCACCCCCCAGTCCTTTATGTTAAGAGACTCTGTTAGCTACTCTCCAGCATTCTTTTCCAGAGTCCTGACCTGAAGGGCTTTTGCTTGCTTTAGGAGGGTGAAGTATCTCCCCGCATAACTGTTTAATTTGGAGATGCTGCACCGTCTCAGTGAACTTCAGAGAGCATTAACCTGGGCTTGCTGTGTTACGCTTTGGGACTGATGTATTTTAGAGGTTACCAATCTCAATCATTCCAGTCACATGTGTGCAACCAGGCTGTGAACCCCAATTGTACTTCCAGTCACATGTGCATGTCAGGTATTGAAAGGATACTTCCCGTTTATCTGGCGTCACAGTAAAATTTCCGATCTTTCTTCCCCCTAAAAAGAACCAGCCGCAGCAGCAGAACCCACATCAGCAGCCTGCAGCCCCCCCACAGCAGGCAGCAGCCCCCCCACAGGCTCCTCCCCCACAACAGAGCAGTGCCCAAACCAATGGAACTGCTGGGGGAGCCGCTGCTGGGGGCGGGGGCACTGGAGCAGGGCTGCAGCACAGCCAGGACTCTGGGCTGAATCAGGTGCCTCCAAACAAGAAGCCCCGGATTGGGCCTTCGGGTGCAAACTCAGGCGGGCCCGGCATGCCATCGGATTATCAGGTTTACCCCTGAATTTTCTTTTCTCTCTTTCTTTCTTTCTTTCTTTCTTTTTCTTTCTTCCTTCCTTCCTTCCTTCCTTCCTTCCTTCCTTCCTTCCTTCCTTCCTTCCTGTCTTTCTTTCTCTTTCTCTCTCTTTCTCTTTCTCTCTTTCTTTCTCTCTCTCTCTCTTTCTTTCTTTCTTTCTTTCTTTCTTTTGATGCAAATATATTTTATGAAATGGGAAATTGACTTTTAACAAATCCTTCTAGAGTTAAATAGTTCTTAGCTCTAGAGTCTTATATAAAAATTAGATGTTACATTTGTGGCATTATATGAAAGGATAATTTCTAGTCATATTTCATGTACTTGTGAGATAGCTTGTATCACAACTTGTTTATCGTAACACCCCAAGGAGAGAAAGGAGGGAGCCTGAGGCTCCTTAAAGAAAAGATCCACACTGGCCACACTGGGTAAGAGGGACATGACACAAGCAAAGTGTCTTAGTTGGACAAAATCAAGAACACTTAGAATAGAGACAGATGCTGAGAAGATTCGCTCTCACTGGGAGGAACAGCAGCCACACAGACTTGGCAAACAGTAGAGGCCGAGCTGCTTCAAACAATTGTAAGACATACTTAAGTTGTGATAACACTAGGTAATACTCTTGGTGTTAAGACAAGGAAATTACATCTATACACTAATTAAGGAAACGAAGGAAGTCTTAATCTTTAGCCTTTTCCTCCTATCTTCTGATTCTAGGATTTACCAGAAATAAAATGCCTTTAGGTTTATTTTATCATAAACTCTCTTCAAAATAAAAAGGTAGTTTTTACACTGCCTTATAGCAATGTGTGACTTATTAGCTTGTATTCAAGCCTGGGTTACTGTTGCCGTGTTTTATTCAGCCCCACAGTGAACTGTTCTGTGAGGATACTGCCTCGGTTAGTAGTTTCCATGTGTGGTGTGGGCTGCTTCAGTATAAGCTACTATGGTTTACACTTGAGAAAGAGGAGCATGGTGGCTCACACTGAGAGCCTGAGGCAGATGGGTTGTTGAGAGTTCCATGGCCAGCATGGCCCACATAGTGAGTTCTACACACACACACACACACACACAGAGAGAGAGAGAGAGAGAAAGAGAGAGAGAGAGAGAGAGAGAGAGAGAGAGAGAGAGAGAGAGAGAG